GCATTAATGTTGTTTTTCTTCAGTATATAAAACATTTGGCAATTTGAACAACTGTTCTCTAAAAATCTAAACAGAATACTTTTTTTTTAAAACAAATGTTTTTAAGAGACAATATAGACCCAGCCACCACATGGAGTTCAGAAAGATGGTGCTGGTTACAGAAAAATCCAGTTGTAAACTTTATGAATTGTTTGGTAAAACTGGGCTTTTGTCCTGCGTCATGGTTAGCTTCCTTAAACACGAGACTCTCCTGTGTCCTGGGTACTTTTGGATGCCTGGGAATGATAATACAGACAGATGGTTAAACCAGTGAAAAACATTTTGTGTTAATAGAAAAAGTGTCTTCGTTAAAAGGCCAGCTTAGCTCTTTCTCTAAAAGAACAATATATCTCATGTCTTCATTGTCTTAAAAGCTTTAAACTGATCCATTACAGTAAAAATGAGATTTTTCTCACTTGTGCTTTGCTGGAGTGCGAGTAACTGAACTCGGCGTATTTCCTCTTTCCAGGTGTAGAACAGCGAGACAAAATGTTTGCATATTCCTCTCTCACCTGAAATCAGAATGCAAATGGGAGTTCAGATGTCTGAAAAAATAATGGAGCTAGTATCAATTTTGTTAACATCAAAACCAACCTGTTTAGAAAACAGACAGTGCATGACAAAAAGCAGAACTCCCTGAAAGCTGCCAAATACTGTGAACAGATAAGACGTGGCTATCGTGGTCTTCTCAAACTGGAAACACCCAAAGATCCACATAATGCCCAAAATGCACAGTTGAGCCACTGCAGTAATGATGAAAGCCCTGCAGGAGGCAACAAATGCACACAGATCATTTAAAGGAAATTCAAACACATTTTATGCAACCTGTTGGGGAGACGATGGCCACACTTTTAACATTTTTTTCTGAATAAAGCAAATAAAATGAAGAAATGTAAAGTTTCCCCCCAATACACGACCCCAAACAGGAAAATATGACTCATATTTCTAACAATACAGCCAGCTTGTGGGTCAGCAATACTTTATTTTCCGCAAGTTGTCCAGATCTGGGTTCAAAGTTGAAAACTTCTGGGCCAACTTCCATGCCGTGATGAGAAAGAATAAAATGTTCACCTGGAAGACAACAGCTCAATGTTTTAAAAAGAAACGAGGTCAAGTCTCAGAATATTATTTAAGTAAAATATCTATTTATTCTTAAAACCTTACAATGATGATGACACATGCAGGACCAAAAAAACTCCAAATGGAATCCAGGTTCAGCCAGCAACTAAAATGTTAGTTGAGATTTCATGAGGAGGGTTTATAAAAGAAATGTGAATATAGTTGAACTAATASTGGAAACTTACTGTCTGTTAGTGCCATATCCCTTGGAGTTGACTAATGCCGAGACAGCAACAATTAAAGCCGGGACTCCATAACCCCCTGCCATCATGTAGATTGTTTTAAAGTTGGTGTTGAAGACCAGTACGACCATCCGGAAGAGCTGTATGCCTTCCAGACACATCCAGCAAAATGCTGCTAGGAAGAAGAAATGCAACATCCCTGCTACAACTGCACATCCAACCTGARGAGGAAAGAGATGAAAATCAGCACAATGGCTGAAAAATGACATTGAAGGATGAACAGACAGGTAAAAAAAGTGGAGGAACTGCTTCATTAGATATTTTCTACTACTTACATAAACCTTTCAGCCGCTGTGCAGTATGTGAATGCAGTTTGAATGAACTTAAGTTGGCAATAAGCAGTGATAGTTTTTACCTTGTTCTCTGTCTTTGTGATGCCCGCAAGAAAGATAATGTTAGCAATGAAGAGGCTGATGCAGAGGTGCAGGTGGATGGTAGTTCTTGGGCTTTGGATGGAACGGATCATTGAGAACGTCAGGATGCAGAGGAACAGACAGATTAGTGAAAGAGACAGGCCCACCCAGGTGATGAGCTGCAACTCAAAATGGTCCTGATGGAAGAGAAACAATTGCTATGTCAGCACGTTTGGACCAAGTCCTAAATTTAAGCATAACTATTAGACACTAAAAAAAGTCTGAACCTCTATTTCGTAGAGGGCCATAAGCACAGCAAAGCTGCTCAGGTGGTTACAGGAACACACTGTATATTTTTGGTTCGACTCAGCAACAATGCAACCTCGAGTGGACCACTTCCCCCCATCTTCTGAAGAATCCCAGAACACACACGTTNGGATTTAAATATCATATTTACAGGCAATCATCATTACCAGGATATTGGGAGGGATTTCCAGCTGCTACCTCCATGTTGATGTCCAGTTTAGCATTCTTTACAGATAAAGTTTTCACTTCTTGAGTTTGGACTGGGCCAGTGTGCACCAGCAGCTCCAGTTCTGATGATGGAGACAATCTTACACACAACACAAAACTAGTAGACATTGAAACTGATTGTTACATTTTACACTTAATGCATTAACACTGGACAAAAGACTTAGTTTGAATTACGCATATTTTTGTTTTCTGAAAATAAATAAAAGAATCCGAGTAGTTAATGAGTATTTTTCTGTTAAACCTGTGTTAGAGGAGGAAAGTTTGGTTCCAGGGGTTGTGACAAAGGGTCCAGTGAGCCTCAAAGCTTGCTCCACCAAGTCCAGAAAGGTGGAGATTTTCCTGTTATCATTCAGAGCTTTTTCAGACAAAAGCTTGTCCATTATCGACTGAAGAATCTAAATTCATGAAAGAGGAGAGGAAAGGGAGATATATAAGTGGAGGGTAAAAACACACACACAAAAAAAGACATAGAAAGACCAGAATTCTAACGCCCAAACAAGTTACAAGATTGTGCAACAACTATTTAAACACCATCTGACAGAGTTTGAAGATAGTGGAACTTCCTGTTTCTGTACTACTAGGAAGAGCTTTTTATTTCTTAAGAAAAGAAGATGAGATTGATTCTAAATATAACTTGTACCTTGAGTGAGCTCTCTCCATCCAGCTTCTTCAGATCCTCTCCCTCTGTGAGCTCCACGCAACTTCTATTTAGTTGCTTCACATGATCCTCTACATTGTGGAATGTCTGAGAAAAAGATTTGGGAAAGATGAAAATGAAATTTGGGACTGCAGATAAGAAATATTTTCAAGTTAAAAGACTGGAATTGTACCTCTGGCAGATTTGTCACTTTTTTAAAAACACCACAATCCAGTTCTTTAAAAAAAGGACAACATATAAAAGTTTATTGTCCTTTTCAAAAATGTTCTGTTCTGTTTTTTTTTTTTAAATACAAATGCCATTTATGGTATGGATGCTGGAAACAGGTGAGAGAAGAGATGTTTTTACCAATACAGCGGGACTTCTTGTTGCCATAGTTAGTAAAACCTGCATGACATGCACAGTAATGTCCACCTTCCCCACTGTGGCATGTTCCATTTCCACAGATTGTTTTATTAAGCTGACACATGTCTGAAATGATAACAAATATATAAGTTATAGTCTGATTTAATAACTGTCTGAACAGTAACAGGCTAAATATTCTTTTTGATTGATATGTCATTATACTAAAACAGTATCGATGGATAAAAATATGAAATATGTACAAGATGRTTGACTTTGCGCAGAACTTCATACCAAATCTCTCACCTTCACACTCTTCCACTTTTCCAGTGTAATTAGATTTACCAGATTTCAGTCCAAAKCCAGTTTTGCAGACACAGTAATAACTCCCTTGTGTGTTGGTACATGTTGAATTCAGACCGCAAACCTTTTCCTCTTTGCATTCATCTATATCTGTACATGAAGAAAAAAAAACATGAAGAAGTGAAATAACACTCTAATGTTGACTTTAATAGATAGGAAAGATCACAAAACACTGATCGTCAGGTTACCTCTGCACGTGACATTATCTTTTCTGTGAAAGTTTTCTACTTTGGGAGAAGAGGTGAATCCCTCTTTGCAAGAGCACTTGTAATTGGGAATTGTATTTTCACACTTGGCATTAGGTCCACAGATGCCCTTTTCCTTATTACATTCATGTATGTCTTTAGAGAAAAAAAAATCATAATCATGCATAAGCAATGATTGGGGAATGTCAGAGTTTTTGTCATTACTTTAACAAAATACAACTTACCTAAACATGCACCAGTTGTATAATTTACCTCCAGTGATGGTCTGTAAAAACCATCTCTACACTGGCAGTAGAAGCTTCCAGCTGTGTTAAAACAATGTCCAGTTTCTGTACCATCACGCAATTTCCCGCATAGAGTAGCACCGAAACCATCAGCACATTCATCAACGTCTTAAATTAAAAACAGGAATGTTACTGAAATTTATATATCATCAACACACTTTTAATAATAATATGTAGAAAAAAATTTAGGCAAACTGATTTTTTTGACAAAAAAATTAGTTAACTTCATATACTTAATATACTCAGTATTGAAATTTTCTCAAAGAAAACATGCAAACATTCCAAAATATGTCAGATTTTTTATGAATGTTAATTTGTTTTCCATACCAACACATTCTAGGCCCTTGGTCTCATAACCTGCAGGGCAGGATTGTTCGTTTTGAGCCATAGATATAGACTGGAGCCAAACTGAAAAACAAACAGAAAAGTGGTGTTATGGTGCATCCTAATACTTCTTGAGCATTAATAAAATCTTTATCCTATTATTA